AATGAAGAGAATATGGCAGAAGCTAATGTCACTTGTGAGATTAGATTGCAAAACAACTGCGGCTTCCATCTTGGGTACCTTTTCTCGATTCCTTGCTTTTCGCTATGAGGAGGGACAGTTGCCATGTTACGAGAGGCCCACATGGAAAGGAACCGATGTCTCTAGTCAGCCCCCCATGAGGCCCCGAGACCTTCCACTGCCACTCGAGTGAGCTTGGAAGCAGCTCCTCTCTGAGCTGAGCCTTGAGGTGACTGAAGCTCCAGATGGTGCCTAGATTGGAGCCTTGTGAGAGGTAGAGGTACCCAGCTAAGCCTCACCTGGATTCCCGACTGGTGGAAATGGGGAGGTCATAAATATTTGCTGTTTTAAGCTAGGTTTCGGAGTGATTGTTATGCAGCAGTAGATAACTAAACACATGCTCCATCTGTAAAATGGTATAGTAACTCCTTTCTCCCAGTGAGGCAGGGGCATTGAAATAAGGCAGGCGAAGTGTCTGCTCTTGGGGGGCGGGCAACTTGTGGTTACCCAGTCAAGGCAAAAAGATGCACACTCTGCGACCCAGCGTTCCTGAGGCATGAGCACAAGAAGGCACGCAGAGGGAGGCACATGGCGGGATTGTTTGCTACAGTGAAAAACAGGAAATGCTCTAAATGCCCGTCATGGGAAAGGAATAGACAGAACGCGGTACATTCACGCAGTGAGATACTATGCAGCAATGAACACAGTGCGCTGGAGTTCCCTGCATCAGCAGGGTTGATTTCATAAACACAATGCGGAGGGAAAACGAACGCGTGGATGAGGCACACCACTTATATCAACTTTACAAACAAGCCCCAAACCCTGTCAACTGAAAATGGATGTCTACAAATATAGGAAAAGTATAAAAACATGCAGGACAGCGATCAACACCAATTCCAGGGCACTGCCACCTCTAGGGCAAGAGAAGGGGAGGTGGCAGAGTCAGGCCTACCCCAATCTCCACGCTTTGAACCCCACACCAAGAGCAGCGCAGTGGTTCTAAGTGTTACCCACTCACTCAGCAGCTCACTCAATCCTCTCAGCAACGCTATGGGCTCCCTTCTGTTATTACCCTTCTTACAGAGCGAGAAACTGAGGCACACATAATCCAGGGAGCTATTCCTGGGCTTTGCAGTCTAGTGGGAAGCCAGGGCCTGGTTCCTCACTCTGTCATGAAGTTGGAGGAGTCCACATTATCTCCCTGGCTGGGGCTTGGGACATACTCACCCCTTGCCCTTGATAGGTGTGACTTGACAGACTGGCAACGTCTTGATTTATCAATCTGCAAAATTTGCAGAGACCCTGTGAGCCAAGCCTGGTACCAGCTGCATGGCAGGGGACACTACAACCAGGAAGTGTGGACAAGAGAAGGTGCGAATAAGACAATTCGATCCAACGTGATTCGGTGTGGTTCCGTTTCACATGGGCTCGATTCACAGGCAATGGTGAGGTCGAGGATATTGCTTGAGCGCCTATGGCATGTGAGGTCACATCCTAGGTGCTTGTGCGGATGATCCCATGTAAGTCTCAATCACACCCTGTCAAGTAGGGACTGGTATTATTCTCATTGAATAGTGAGCAGTGAGGAAACAGGAGTACACTGACCGCTGAGATTGTCAGGATGTGCCCTCCCTCCATTCTGACCTGTCCTCTGTTTGGTTTTGGGGACACAGATGGAGGAAGCAGGCCTTGGTGTCCACTGAGGGATCTCAGCCCAGACCAGGAGAATCTGGAGGAGTCTGGGGGAGGGGGAGCAAATGGGATAGGCTTCCTGGAAGAGGAGGGTGAAGGCAAATGCTTCCGTGGGCTCACTGTGGTGAGACAGGTGGAGGCATCCATCCATTCGTTTCTTCATTCATTCATTCATTCATTCATTCATTCATCAAATGCCAAACATTTGCCACAGTTTTCTCTGGGCCCCAAAGCCCATGGTGTGGCAGGCAAGAGTCAACCTGGTGTGGCCCAGGCTGAGGTGGGAGAAGATGGGGTTGGGCTGCATAGACACAGCAGGCAGGACAGACATCGCGGAGGAAGTGATGGCTGAGCTGAAATCAAAGGGTGAGTCGGGATCAGTCAGGCACACAGGAGGTGGAGGCTGGTGTTCCAGGCAGAACAGCAGGTGCAAAGGCTGGGCCCTGGGGTAGAGGGAGAGACAGCCAGCCCCGAGGAAGGCCCCTGCTGGCCAAGGAGGTGGCAGCTCAGCTGAGAGGGGTTTGTGGGGCTGAGGCTGCCACCACCTCTCGCCCAGGTCGGGTGGCTGCCTGTCTTCTTCTCCAGCCGGTGGGTCCCCACGCCATCTCCGTCCTGTTGGGCAGGCTGGGTCCCTCTCCAGAGAGATTAAGAGCAGGGGAGTTTGAACCATAACGGTGCATGTAATTATGTGCAGAAATGAAGGAGGGGAGGGCTCCTTAATAATTGATGGTGGGAGAGAGTAAATATCGGCAGAGGCACCCGGCTGCATCGCCCCAGCCCGTCTGGCTGGGACCCAGGGCAGCCGCTTGGCCACTAATATGCCTATAAATTATTGAAGTTATAAAGAAGCAAGCAGGTGTCATGTCGCACCCATAAACAGCTTGTTAGCTAAGACTAACGGAGGGGCCTCTTGGCACTGCCTGGGACCGCCCCCCTGCACCCTCCCTGATTACAGCAGGAGACAGATGAGGGGTGGGCGTGGTGGGAGGCTGAGAGCCTGGCTGGCCCCACACCCGTCTCCCAGCATCTTGACCCACTGTGGAGTCAAGTGGTCCTGGGAGACAGAGGAGGCCCAGAGACACAGAGAGCCAGAAACGGGGCGGTGACTGTCCCAGCACTACGGTGTCAGACGGCAGCTGGACAAAGCTGCGACAGAGGACGTCAGAGGTCCCGCCAGTCTGACAGGCAGAGGCCAGCTGGGATGCTGGGAAGAACTAGACCCCGGGGCCGGACCCTCAGGGTGCACACCCCAGGCAGAGTGGTCCTGGGAAGTCACCTGCCCCCTTGGAGCCACTTTCCATTCGTGCCGCCTGGGGATACTCATGTCTATCTCGGAGGGTTGTGGGAAGGGTTCTGATAAGAACAGACACTACACTTGATCTTAGCCAAAAGGCCGAGAAGCGACTGTGGAAAGGGCTATAAGAGCATATGCGTGTGACATTTCTTGCACACAGTAGGCCCGCATGAATGGGGTGCTCTCCACCTCCCCCTTCCAGCCCATCTCAGGGGCACCTAATTAGATCAGGCCTAATGAGGCTTCCCTCTGCCTGGCTGTTTCCGCTCCATTAAGACTTGAGCCCAGGACAGCAGTGGGAGGGAGACAGCTGTGGAGGGGAAGGTGTCCAGTGCCAGGGCTTGGTTCGTCCTAGGCACGGGGAACACCCACCCCCAGGAGTGGAGGAGGGAAACAGAGGCAGGGCTCTGGAGTCAGAGCTGCCAACGGGGAGAGGCCCAAGGTGTGGGGAGAGGGAGGAAGGAGGAGAGAAAGAACAGCTGGGAAGGCTGGCGTTTTGGCTGCTCAATGTGAAGCGCTTAGAAGCCCACTCTCTCTCAGGCTGGGGGTCTGCAGTCTCTGCCATGCTCCTTTCCAGGACATGGAGCCAGCCACCCTCATTTGGGCACTTATGTGCCCATGGAGTGCTCAGCTCTGCCAAGGACCACACGAAGGCAAGGACAGTCTGGACCTAGGGAAGGTGCCCCTTTCCCCAGCCTGGCCCTAGGAAGCCCTTCCTAGCCCCCATAACCTGCTCCATGCCACACGAGGAGCAAGGCTGGGACCGTCACTTGGGCCTGGGCAGCAGGCAGGCTCCTCTCCCGGTCCTGAAATCCCCCAGCGGGGGGATTTCTGCAAGGGGTTTCCTTCTCCGAGAGGAAAAGAGGGAATCCCAAAAATTCTCATCAAATATGCTTTGAGCCTGTTCTCCCAGGGGTCCTCTCTGTACCCCTTATCTCACTTGTGCAGCCTTGGTCTATCCCACTGAGGCCTCTTTTGCAGATGCACAGAGAGGCGCCTTAGCTGCCCAAGGCAGCACAGCAAGTGAGCAAGGAAGAGGGTGGAGCCTGGGCCTGCTGCCTTTCCCCACACCGCTGGACTCCGCCCTGGGAGGAGGCGGAGACTCACACTCGGCGCACCCTCTGACAGCTGCTGTGGTGTGGTGGTGTGGCGTTCCCAGGAGCTCTCCTCCTGCCCAAGAACTCCCCGCGCCCTGGACACCTGCCTGTCTGTCACTCGCTTATTAGCGTGGGGGCAGCCAGGGTGGCCTGGTCAGAAAGGGGATGGAGATGTCTTTCAGGCCCCCTGGATGGTTCTGGGAGCAGGACGGCTGTGTGGGCTCAACCAGGCAGGAGAGCAGGGCTGTCTGCGAGGTCAGGGGAGACCCGGGCCCTGGGGCAGGACTGGGGGCAGACGCAAACCTCAGGGTAGGGAGGTCCACAGTAGGAAGGGCCCCCTCCCCCCCAGTCAAGGTCAGACCTTGACAAGGGCTGCTGGGACACCAGCAATGGTCTGGTCACATGAAGGGCAGAGAAGGATGTCGGGGTTGGATGGTGGGAGGGAAGGCTGGGAGCCTGAGGCTTTCGGAGCTTCAGCAGGGGCCCTTCTGGCTCCAGGGCCTGCAGCTCCTTCCCTGCCATTCTTAGGCATGCCATCCCTTTGGTTATGGGCAAAGTGTCTGACAAACTCCCTCATCACATGCGGGAGTGGCCACGTGAAGGCGGTCACCCCAGCACCACGATTCGGGGCTTACCCCGTAGAGATCGGCAGCCACAGCCCTGGCGCAGGGGCAGCAAGCCCCAGGGAAAACTTCCTTCCCAAGAGTCTGATGCCGTCTGCAGGGACAACGCTTTTCATCCCCTCCCCATCCCACTCCAGCATGAGATGGGGCAGGGGGAGACGGCAGTAAATGGGGAAATCGGGGTGCAATGGCTTAAGAACCTCCTGGAATGTGGACTCTGGGCAGAGCACTCGGCAAGTCCCTCCCCTCTCCGCCCTCATTCCCGAATGTGGCACCTGCTCCACAGAGTGGTGAGGACGCTCCGGGAGAAGCCATCAGAGCCGCGGGGCAGGGCCCGGCACTCACGAGCCCTCCAGGGGACAGCCCTTGTGACCGTGAGTCTAGCTGGGGCGGCCGCATCTGCTTTTCGAGTGTAGCTGTTTTGGGGGAGTTGAGGAGGTATACGTAGCTGTGTTGTGTTGTAGATCTGTGTGGCATGTGTCATGTTAAACCTGTGGGGTGTCTCTGTCGTGTGTGTTGGGTAGGTGTCTCAAGCAGGACTTTTCTGCAGCTCCTTCATCAGTCCACAGGCAAAACACCCGGGCCCCCATTCAGGGCTTCCCAGCTGTGCGGGAAGAGCCGCAGCGGTGCCTGGTCTGCACCCTCTCTCGAGCCTTCCTCTGCCCAGGCTGTCCTGGAAGCACAACCCCCTCAACATCGCTGCCCTGAGCCTGCAGGGGAGGTGACTGAGGAGTACCCTGGTTTCAGGGGTCCCCAGACAGGCTTGAGCATCTACCTGCTGCTTCTGAGCCCACCACCTGCCTGCAGTATTTCCCTCACCTGGGAAATACGGATGGCATTGGTGGAGGCGCTGGCGACACCAGGAGAGCAAGAGAGAACCCAGGACGTGGACCCGGGGTATGACCAGAAATGCACCCCAGGGCAGGGCTGAGCCCGGGCCGACCTCTCACTGGCCACCTCGGAAGCTGAGGGACACAGCGCTGGCTGGCTCCCTCAGTCCCTCCAGCAAATGCAGAGGCGGCAGCTGTGCCCATTTCACAGATGAGAAAATCGAGGCTAAGAGCGGTGAGGTAAGTTGCGCTAATGGACCCAGGACCAGCAGCCAGGCCTAGCCCTGGTGGCGAGCGGTTTGCGGTTGGAGGGAGGCCCCTGGGTGGGCTCTCCTCCATGTGATAAACGATGTGGCTCAGGCCTGCAGCCCCAGGTGGAGAGATCTAGAAGTCCCCAGATGATGGGAGGGCTCCCTACACTCTCCAATCCAAACATGGGCATTTACACCCAGACACAGAGTGTTCACACCACCTGCTGGGGCGTGAAAACCAGCCATAAATACCTGCACGGTGGCGGTGGCTCATCAGGAGTGGGGAGAGAGGCCTGGAGCGCTCTCAGGAAGCTCCCGGTGACTCACGGGCCGTGGACCCCTCTCCGCTCTTCCAGACACCCCACCTCCCAAACATACACGCTCGGAGCGGGCGGTGCAGGGAGCAGTGCTCACACCCCCACACCAGGGGCTGAGGGCACTGGGAGGAAGGAGCCCTGGCCAGCCAGCTTGCAGGGACGCCACACATCACAGCCCAAGACGCCGGGGCAGGAGCCCCAGGGCACACAGTGGGGCGGGTGGGACAGGGTGGACGCACGGCCCTGAGGCCCACGCCTTAGCACTGTCTTCTCCCAGAGCTACCCAGGCCGCTCAGCAGACCAGTGCCCGGCTCTCTTTCTACGCTTAAACTTGGCAGCGGACTTCTCACATTTACTTAGCGTGCCGAAGGTAGGGGGGAGGGTGGGCGTGCACGGCTCATGGCTAAAGATAAATGCCAGCTAATGTCTGAAGTGTGGAAAGCATCGTGAACAAATTCGGGGCTGCTGTGTTCGTCCTCCCATCCCTAAGCCAGTGGGTCTCTGACTGGTGAGTGCAGGGCTGCTGCGTCCGTGGGCCTTGGTCCCACACCTGCCTGCATTCTGCATCCCGCACACGTCTTCCCGGGGCCCCCCGAGGGCTGGCTCCAGACCCGCTCTAGAAGGGCTGGCGGCCTTTCCTGAAGCCAGCGGTGTGCACTGGGAGCTGAAGTGTAAACAGGAGCAAAGCTCAAGGCCTTGCTGGTAATTCTCCCTTTGTGGTGGACATTAGCCAGCCTTACTCAGGCATGAAGGGGACAGCCCCGGACTATAAGATCCCAAGCACCCCTTAGGCACTTCCACTGCCCGGGGGTGCAGGTGGCCTCAGTGTGGCTGCCAGCCCAGGACGAGTCCCGTGAATAAGCAAGTGCCTGAGCAGGCCTCGGTTTCTCCAACTGCAAAGCAGGGATGCTGTCTGCCTCATTTAGGGGCTGGGGAGCGGGCGAGGTAAAGGGTGGCTGAGGGGCTTCGTTTGGCCTGAGCCGGGTGGCGTACGGTGGAGCAGACACCCAGCTGCCAAGGGGCAGATACAGCCACACCCCTGCCCCACCTTCTGGGACCAGTAAAGTAGTAAAATAGTCAGGAAAGGCGGTGATGGTCCCTGCCTGTGTCTAGCTGCACGTCAAGGAAATGTGCCCGGTCTGGGCACGTGACCTGTAAGGGACTCCACCCCGCCCTGTCACACAGCAGTGGGTGGGGACCTGGGCCCACATGGAGGTACCTGCCCAGGCTGGATATGGCACCTACACTGCACCCTCTGGCTTCATCCCACGGGAGTCCTGCCACCCAGCACCCCTCTGCCATGGTGACCCAGACGGCTGGGAGCAGGGAAGGCGAGAGGAGCGAGGAGACTCTGCTACGCCTGGTAGGTTCTTCCCTCCTCTCTGCACCCCAAATCCAGGTTCCAAGTCTGTAAGTGGGTGGGGCACACACAGGCAGGAGGCTGGGGTTCCCCACTTCGGGGAGGGACAGACCAGGGGCGGGCCAGCCTCTCTCCTGAGGCAGATGCGGCAGAGCACAAACCCACCTTGTCCTCTGCCAGGGTCTGCCCCGATGACTGTCCATCTCCATCCCCACAACCTGGGGCTTCTCTGTCCCCAGGAGCACCCAGGAAGGGATAGGAGCTTTGATACTCAGAAGTGACTGGGCAGGACTAGCTGACATCCACGGAGGGTGAGCTTTTCTAAACTGGGCCCAGAAAGGAGGCAGACCCTCGCCACAGAGCCTGGGAAATGGTCACCACGTCTGATATCTACGCCTTTCCCCTGGGTCGGCAGACACTTACTCATGTCATTCTCTCAGCGGCCCTATTAGAAAGGTTCTGTGAGTAATCCCACTTACAGGGGAGGACATGGGGGCATGGGGAGACTAAGGAGCTCGCCCAAGGTCACGGTGAGGTGGGCGGCAGAGCTAGGACGGGCGCCCGGCGTTCTGTAGCTGAAGAGTATGGAGGTGCAGGAGGGCTTGGGGCTGGGTGGGTGAGGGGCGGGGGACTTGGAGCTCTTTGGTCCACTTGCAGGGCGGCTCTTGGATCAGGTCCTGGTTATGCCCCCTGGGCTGCCCTGCCCCTGACAGGAGACATGAGGAAGCCAGGGATGAAAGGGTCAGTCTGCAGGAACACAGTCGTGGGGAGAGGCAGACCCAGCTCACATGAAGATCTGACCCGAGGCAGGTGGTGATCAGAGCTGGAAGAGAAGGGAAAGGCAGCTGGGGGCGGTGAGGGGATGGAATCCCAGGGGACTCCCTGGAGGAGACAGTCTTGGAGGCATGGTAGGATGCTGACGGGCAGAGAGGGAGTCACACATATCAGGAGGAGGGATGGCAGGCGTAGAGTGTGGAGGCTGGACAAAGGGGGGTCTGCACAGTTACACTGCTGAGGACCACAACTGCCTTCCTTCACTGTGACCCCAGGTTCCTGCAGGGTGAGCATGCTGGCAGATGGAAGGTCAGAGCAGGGGCTGGGTCCATGGCAGCATTGCTGAGTGCTGTTCCAGGCAGCCTGGGAAAGGCCCTGGCCACACCTTGCACCCCTCTGTGCTCCCCACCCACGCCCTTCTCATGCCTAACTGCTTTGCCCTCCTCTCCCACCCTCCCTCTCTTCTTTCCTTATCGCTCTCTGATTGTTCCCTTTATTTTCTTTTCAGGCCTCAGCACTTTTCCTGGAAGGCAACAGCTGGGCTGCTGGAGTCACCGAGGAAGTGTTTTTTTGGTTACATTGCCCAATCCCCTTCTCTATGAAAATTGGTGCCATTATTGCTAACTGATGGACGGATGGTGAGATATCTATCTCCTTGCCTCCTTCTTTCCTCCCTCTCTCTGGGCTCTGCCCTGAGGCATTTGGGAAAGACAGGGCAGTCAGACGGCAGCCATGGAGGGAGGGTGGTAAGTGGGGAGGACTTTTGTATCAGGTGTGGGCAGCTGGGGCCCTCGGTATCATCATTAACCCCATTTTACAGATGAGGAGACTGAGTCCCATGATCACCCAGATACGATAATAACGACAATGTTAACATTAACCATAAGAGTTAGCATTGAAGGCACACTGGCTGCGTGCCAGGCGCTGTGCTAGACACTTCACATGCAACGAACCTGGGAGGCAGATCCTTTACGGCAACATTGCACACAGTGGAAAACTGAGGCTCAGAGAAGGGAAGTCACTAGGCAAGCTACTGTCACACAGCCAGGCCAGCGGAGTGGCAACATCCACTCATGCATCCGTACATGGCTACTGTGTCAGCTGCGCGCCTTCCCCACTCCGCAGCCAGCTGGAGAGTGGCGGGGCTGAGACCTGAACCCACATCTGTCCACGTTCTCACTCTAAGGCTGGGTTCTACTCCCATGCTGACAGAAAAGAACCTTCAACAGTGGTTCTAGCCACAGCAAGACCCAGCCTGATCCTGGCCCCAGCATGTGGCTGAGGGGGACAGAGAGCCAGGCCCAGCTTGTCTCAGCCTCTGGCCTGACCTCTTTGGGCCTCAGAGACTCTGCTATGAAAGGGGAGCCCTAGGTAGGATAAATGAGGCCCCTAGGACCACACTGACTCAGCCATAATGGCCCAGGGCACACGCATTTCCCAAGGGTCACCCCTTGTTCACCCTGTTCTCCAGGGCTGGAGACTTCAGGCAGGCCCCTGATCTTCTGGGACCCCAGTCTCCTCCCTGCTGCCCTGCTAAACAGAGTTCCCAAGGATAGAGACAATAGGAACCCAGGCCTTGGTCTCAAAGCTGCAGCCACACACCCCAGTGGCCTCCGGGCATCCTGTACACACATCCCAGAACCCCTCAGCTCTGCACGTGCCATTGTGGGTCCTGCTGTGGAACCCCAAGTCCAAACATAGGGAAGTGCCTTTCAGACACATCCAAAAAATGACCCTTGATCCTCCAAGCTAAGAGAGACCATTAGGACTAGACACAGCGGTGACACAAGCAAGCAGTCTGTATCATCTGCAAACCCACAGCTGTCCTTGGCTGCGTCATATAAATGTGTTTTAATAGGAACACACACGGTCACATAAATGGGAATGTTCTAAGCAAATGTGTGGCCTATGTGAATGTTCATAAATTCAGCTGTTGGGTGTTGACGCCTGTGTACAATGTAAATGCCCATTCTTTGGTAAGACAGAGGACTTTATGAAAGATCCATGTGGCTGATGGAAATACACACACGTGCGGTCAGCAGAAACACCTGTGTATAGTACAAATGTAAGTCTGAGACAGATACTCATGTGAACCTGTAATATGGGATGGGCCATCAGAGATGGAAGTAATCACGGAGAAACAGCAAGGTCATTTCCACCCAGAAACCAGGAAAGCAAAGATTTGGGGGTACCATGTGTCAAGAAGAGAGTGATTTGGAGGAGGAAAGGGGCGCAGGAAGGAGCTGCGGGGTAGGGCGCTCTGGCTTCTGGGTCAGGGTAGAAAGCTGGGTCAGCTGGGGCTGGGGGTGCTGGGGATGTTCTCTAGCTGGAGGGCAGAAACCAAGGGAACCCAGAGGGCAGTTAGGGGCTCTGGGATCCAGTGTGGCAGGCAGGACTCTTGCCTAAGCTGCACTACCACAGGCCGCCCCCGGAGTGGGGCGTCCCCAACACTGCTCATGGCTGGGCAGGCGATGGCCACCGAGGGGAGGGCGCAGATGATGGAAGGGCGGAGACCTTTCCGCCCCACTCCTACCACCAACTCTGTCACCCCAGGGGGTGGCTGTGGCAAAACAGAACTCGAGTGCCAGCAAGTTAGGTCCAGGTCCACCCAGCCACTGGGTAACTCTGGCCGGTGGCCCCCAAATCCTCAGCCTCAGCCTTCTCATGTGGAAAAGCGGAGAGGAGATAAATACCGCCCACACGTTCTCACATGCGCTCAGAGGTAAAACGGCTTTGCAAACTGTAAAGCGGTGAACAATGTGAGGTGAAGGTGCTTGGCTGGCTGTGGGGCTTTGTTGCCAATTAACAGGCACCAGGGCAGCCGATTTGATGTCTACGCGTGGTGTGTGAGCGTGTGCACAGCATGTGCGCGTGCGTGTGTGTGTGCGTGTGTGTGTGTGTGTGTGTATGTATTTAAGACTCGAGGCTCTCAGAGACTACGCCACAGAGGTTTGGAGTGAGGGGGAAGAGAAGAAATAATCTTAAAAGCAAAAAAAAAAAGTATTATGTGTCAAAAGGAGTGAGGAGGCTTAAATGGCTCCCAGGTGGGACACAGAATAAAATAGTCCTTGCTATTATTTTTTGATTGTCTCCATGCAGGGAAGACTGGCAGAGGGTCGCCATAGCAACCCCGGGCATCCGGCATCGGGCAGCCTGGACCCCACAGGTTTGTCTGGGCTGGGTAGTGTGAGTCAGCCCATCAGAACCCAGAGGCCAGGGCTGGGTTCCATCTAGGCAGGACCCTTGTCGTGAACTCCCGCTTCCTCCTGATCTGTAAGCCACATCTGCAGTGGGGATGAGGACAGACTAGAGTTGCCCAGTAGAGGGGCTAGGCCAGGCTGGGGCTGGAGGCTGCATCCAAAAATAGAGACTCTCAAGATGGGGATGCGGTGACGGTGGGGGCTGAAGGTATGCTGGAGGCTGTGAGGAAGTCGTGCAGGGTGGCCACAGAGGGCAGAGGCTGTATATGGCTAACACAGATGATGGGCTAAGGACTGGGAGGTGGGGTATGGGAAAGAGGGGGTGGGAGAGTCTGGGCTCCAGCGTGGACAGGGCACTGTGTAGAGGCGTGGGTGTGGTGGCTCTCCCAAGCCCATCCCTCAGCCTCTACTACTGTAGGGCAAGTAGACATTTCAGAGGCTTGGCCTAGGTGGATCTGGCCTCCCTGGTAGGCTTCAAAGGCAGGGGTCAGGCAGAAAAGGAGAGTAGAGAAGGAACATCCTGATTGGAAAAAAGCAGCAATGGCAGAGTCACGCATTTGGGTGCACACGCAGAGGCCACTTTGGGTGGAAACGGCCCTGCAGGGAGAGAGTTCTCCCTTGTGGAAAGGTAGCTGTGAGCTTGCGGTCTGTTTTCACTGCTGTATTCCAGAACCTGCCATTCAAGAAATATTTTTTGAATAAATGAATGAATGACAGAAGCCTGAATGAACAGTGCTCAGAAAGCTACATGGAAGCTCTAAGGAGGCGTTCACATTCTCTTTCTGGTAAGTTGCAGGCTGCATTAGAAATAGGCACGTGACTGATACCAAACTGACCTAAAAATAGCAAATAGCAAAGTCACTGGCCTAGGAGGCTGGAGAATCTTAACACCAGGTGGCCCAGGGCATACCCAGAGCTTCTGGCAATGCACATCTGGAAAAAGTGGTAACAGTTCCTTCTGGTCAAATGACAAAAGCCTAAATTTGTATCACGTAGTAGCCGATCATAGTCAATTTCTACCTAGAGGGCGCTACATTGGACCTAGGTGTTCAGAGTTCCTTAAGTCATGCTCTGAATGAATAAGCAACAATTCCGAAGTATGTGAAGCTAGCCTCACAGTTTGAAGTCCTTGAAATCACACTTTCCAAACAGCTTCAAACGCAGGACAAGCTCATACAAACTCAAGGGTGCTTGATCAACGAGCAGCTCCAGCAAGTGAAGACATCACAGTCTGGGGCAGCGCATGGCCGACCCCTTTACCTGTTGAACCAGCTGCTTTTGCCCTTGTTTCCAGGGAAAGGGACTCTAGAGGAATTGGGGATTTAGTGCTCTTGAGGTTTGGGGTTTTGGGTCTCTGGGTTTGGCCAGGCCCTTAGGGACTGTGGGCTGAGGTTGAGCCATGTCTCAAACTCTGGAGAAGTCAAGACAGGCCACAGAGTGGAACATCCAGAATCTACATCCCATTCATGCCAGGGCCCTGTTCCATCCACTGTCCGAGCAGACGCCACCCTACAAAGGTCCAAGGGACTCCTGAAAAGCAGGCACGAACAAACCAGAGTTAGTGCAAGGGCACGCTGTGGACCTACCAGCTTTGGCAAGACCTTTTGCTTTCTCTCTGAATCACAGAATCAATGGGATAGAGCATGCCTCACAGGGCCACTATCGGGATCGAATAAGATGACGGATACCGAAGTGCCCCCTTAACAATAAAGTGACACAAAGAGTTACTACTACGGTATTCTTGCTGCTATTATTGATTCAATGGGTAGACGGGGGTTCCTTTCCGGGAGTCCCTGGGGACTTGGAAGCGTTTCTGGGGCTTCCAGGGGGATCCCCTCTCTGCACTATGAAATTTTGACTGACAGCTCTTCCCTCTTCCTGAGCAACTCCAACATCTCTTACCTACAGCTGCAGCTGGGGAAGGAGTGTGTGTGTGTGTGTGTGTGTGTGTGTGTGCTCGTGCGCGCACGTGCGTGCTGCTAGAACACGGAAATCACATTTCCCTGTGTCAATATATCCTCCAGATGATGTCTGTCACTCACACCCACTCCAGACGTACCCCACCTCTAAGCTGTTGCTCCTGCTGTTCTCCACCTGGAACCTGCTCCCATCTCTGCCCAGCTAAGTGATTCAGGGTCCAGCTTCCATTCCTCCATCACCAGGGAGTCCGCCTGGATTTTTCCAGCCCAGTGGTGTCAATGGCTGGCACACTGGGGGAGGAGGGAAGGAAACTGGGCTTAACCTACAGCCTGTCTGGGCTGTGCCATGGCTGGTGACCAGTGAGCCTTCCTGGAGGGAGTGTGCCTCTGTTGCCCCACCTGGCTTTTGTCTGTCTCCTTCCCGGACTGTGAACTATTGCCAGGGAGTACATGGTTTGACCTCAGGGCCCAGCCCAGTGGGTGTGAGGCGACGCAGGGTGGATGGATCAGGTCTCCTACTTGAGCCACCTCACATTGGGGAGGGGGAAATCCAGGTTGGCAAAGAAGCTCTCAGAACTCTGATGTCAAAGGTGGGGACAGGGACCTAGGCCAACTCTAATTTGGGGAGACTGAGGCCCAAAGAGGAAAAGTGGCTTACCCAAAGTCACACAGCCTTGTGGTTTTGGACTCAAGGTTGGCAGTTAAGGTGGCTCGGGACTCCAGGGGTCTCGAGGCCCCACCTGCTACTCCAGGTTCACGTGGGCTCAAATGACCCCAAAGAACTTAGTCCCTGTTCCTGCCCGCTGTCCTCTCCTCACCAGGCTTTGGCTACTCGTCTTGAACTGACCTGAGACTCTAGCGCAGACCTGTGGCCCCAGCCAGGGAGGATGGTGGCTTCCTGAGGAACGAGGGAAGTTGCTGAGTGACAGGGGCGTCCCCAGCCTGGTGGGCCATCCAGACCACCCCAGGCCCTCCTGGTATTGAATGGAACATTTGTTGAGTAGAATTGAATTAACTGTTCGATTGCAGGCGATGTAATTTGATCTGGATTTTATGAAGCCCTTAATAAAGTCAAGGGATTACTGGTATCTGCTGCTTTTTCATCTGTTAAACCAGGCACTGGGCGGGGGGCAGGTTGCTCAGCTGGGAGTGAGTGTGTCCATCCGTGCTTCCTGCCTTAGCCGTCACCATGCCACGTGCCCCTGGGGAAGCTGCTACTTGTCTCTACTCCAGAAGCAAAAGTCTTCCTGCTTAAGGTAGGGAGTGCCCATCAACCCAGACAGTCCATCCGAAAGAGATGGCTCGTAAAGGAAGGGAGGTTGGATCTCCTTGGAGCTGGGGGTGGAGAGGAAAACAGTAACATTTATTAGGCACCTTCTGTGTGCCCAGGTCCTGTTCCCTTTAGTTCACTGACTGTTCGCAGCGTCCCTGCGTGCTAGCCACCCGTGGTGATCATGAAGGGATATGAACTAATATACCAATTTTCTTTCTCTTAGGCACTCCATTTGGAACTGCTGTTCTCTGTCCCCTTCAACATTAATTAGGTATGGCCATGTGACTTGCTTTGGCCAATGACATGTTAGTGGAAGTTACAAGTGTCACTTAAAAGAGAAGGCTTTAAGACCCCGGGTGGCCTTGGCTATGCCTCTTCTTGCTACCCTGGTGACTGGATGCACAGGTCGAGATGGTGGGCACTTCCTCAGCCAGGGGTCCTCAGTGACAACGAGGAGCGGATATCCCATGCTTGGAATGGGGGTGAGAAATGACTGTGAGTTATTTGAAATCTCTGATTTTGAGGTTGTTTGTTACTGCAGCAAAGCCTAGCCTCGCCTAACTGCTCCAGTGCCACTATTTTCTGGATAATGAAAGGGAGGCTCAGAAAGCTCCAGCAACTTGCTGGGGGAACCAGGGTGAGTGGGCGGCCAAGTTGTGTCAGTCTTAATCCATCAGATGCTAGGACCATGCTCTTTCCTCAGCAGAGGGGTCCTGGGGCTGCCTCAGGCTGGCTAGGTATGGTGAGAACCCAGCTGGTGGGGACTGAGGCTGGGGTCTCAGCACCTATTCCTCCCGATTTTCAACCCCTCACTGAGCACAGCGCCCCTGGAATCCTCACTGTGGCCCACTGGAGATGCTGGACGGGGGCCTTCAGTGTGTGAGAGGTGGAGGGAGGCAGGGGAAAAGACCTGGAGAGGTCTCGGAAAGGGCTCTGGGGCTGGACAGTGCTGGGTTCTAACCCTGGCCCTGCAGCCACCAGCCAAGAGATCTTGGGTGAGTTCCTGTCCTTTTCTGAGCCTCGGTCTTCTCATCCGGTGTCAAATGGAAATGATGCTACTCCCTGGTTATTGTGAACATAAAATGAGATGTGAAGATCTTGGCACAGAGTAGGGCTCAATACTTGAGCTCTGTTGCTATTGGAGGCTCCAGCCAGAGCCGAGGTGGCCCTGATCCTCTACCCTTCCCTTTCTTCTCTGCTCAAGGGCACAAAGCCAGACTTCACTCCTGCCTTCCCCAGACGCACCCTAAGGGAGGCTTGCCCGTTCGTCCCATGGGTGTCGACTCAGCCCCCAGGGGAGGGAAGAACAGCCATCCGTAACCCCATTTATAACTGAGGAATGGCAGTCCAGAGGGTCACACACCAAGGAAGCTCTGAGGGCCATGTCACAGTGCTGGCCTCCCTTCATGGAAGCTGCGTTTTGCCAGGTCTGGAGGGGACTTCCTGGAAGGAGGGCTGCTTGCGCCAGACGCAGCAGGTGAGGTTCCAGGAAGAGGAGCTGGACAAGAATTAGAGATTCCATGGGGCCAGTTCAGCTGCCCATGTGGCCTGGATGGGGCCTGGGCTGGTTCGGCCCCAGCCCCCAACTGCCTACTGTCATTCATAGCCTTCTCCCTCCCATTCCACCCTCTCCTCTGCCAGGATAACCCCTCTCTACAAAGCCACCTCCCCAAACATGGCCATGCTGGGTCCCACCGCCACACCTCTACTTAGGGTGGGGACTCCTCTTAGGATCTGGAACGTGTCTACTCGCTCCTCCCTATGTCCCCAGCAGATGCCGGCGACCATGGCCTGAGTGACCACACCAACAGCGGCTGCCATTCAAGGACAGCCACTCTGGCCTCCCCGCCGGCTGCACACCACAGGAAACCTTCAAGGTAGGTGCCACCATCCCCGTCTTACCGTTTGGAGAAACTGAGGCCTAAGGAGGTTCATTTGCCAGGGGTAGGAAGAGACGGAGCCAGAGAAAGACCCAGGTCTGTCTGCCCCTGAGCCTGTGTTCTCAAACACCCAGCCCCAGCCCCTGGAGAGACAGGTGAGGCTGATGGGTGGATGCCCCCGTCTCCTGCCTGCTCCTCACATCCTCCCAGCCTTCTCCTCTCCATTGCTCGCCTGTGTAGTTTCCTGTTCTCCAAGCAGCCTTCCACGTCTGTCCCGGCCACGTGGAGTTCCACTGCTGAGCTACTAAAGCCCAGTGGACTCGGGTTAGGGTGGACTCCTGCCCCTGCTGGGGCCCTGGGAGCAGGGCCTGCATCCTCTGCCCTCTGCTGCTTCCAGTGTGGCTACCCTCTCTGCTGGGCACTCAGGAGACAGGGGTGACTGTAAGGAACCCAGAAAGGGTGCAAAGAGTTGACTTGACTCTCAGGCAGGGTGCAGGGCTGCGTGTTTAAGGAAGAGGTTTACCCAAGGCCTGGACACTGAATCAGAGGGAACTCCAGACCCCACTTCGGCCCTGAACTGAGCTCTGGGGAGCTGAGGTCCCTGATCAACCCTCGCAGCCCCAGACAGCTCTGTGCCTCCCTCTTGCTCCCTCTGTCTGACTCTCTCTCTCTCCCTCCTTGCCTTTTCCCACCCCCTTCCCCTGCCCTTTTTCCCTTCCTAAAAAACACAGAGAAATGGGATTCTGAAGCCTACACCGC